TACTGTTGACTTGATACTCTAGTCACTGTTACCTTGATACTCTAGTCACGGTTGACTTGATACCCTAGCTACTGTTGACTTGATACTCTAGTCACGGTTGACTTGATACCCTAGTCACTATTGACTTGATACCCTAATCACTGTTGACTTGATACCCTAGCTACTGTTTACTTGATACTCTAGTCACTGTTGACTTGATACTCTAGTCACTGTTATCTTGATACCTATAGTTACTCTTGACTTGATACCCTAGTCACTGTTGACTTGATACCCTAGTTACTGTTGACTTGATACCCTAGCTACTGTTGACTTGATACCCTAGTTACTGTTGAGTTGACTCAGACCCCTGCCCGAGGTGACCTTTGTTCCATGGGGTTTTCAATGCTGAGTTCTTTTTAGCAGTAGATTGTCACCTTTCTTCTGAGACACCTCTGCACTCAAATCTCCAATCTTTTGGTCAGCAGCTGAATGTGTTAACCATTTACACTACCTGTTGTAGGTACCATTTAGTCAGTCCCAACTCATCACCATCCTATATGCAAAAGAACGCAACACTGCCCCCTCCTACACCTTCCTCACAATTGTTGTTATGTGTGAGCCCCTGATTGCAGCCACTATGCCAATCCATCTTCTCCAATGTCTTCCTCTCTTTCAATATCATTTTACTGTACCAAGCATGATGTCCTTCTCCAGGGACTGATCTCTCCTGATAACATGTCCAAAGTATGTGACATGTAGCGTTGCCATCCTTGCTTTGAAGGAGCATTCTGGCTGTACTTCTTCTAAGACAGATTGGTTTGTTCCTGTACTTTCACCAGCCCCTTCATTCAGATGCATCCATTCTTCTCTGGTCTTCCTTAGCCAATGTCCAGCTTTCACATGCACCCGAGGATCCCTTAGTCCTCAAAAGAACCTCCCCACTTTTTACCATCTTATAGCGGCCTTGTGCGGCAGATTTACCCAAGGCAATGCATCTTTTCATCTCTTGACTGCTGTTTCCGGGAGCATTGATTGTGGATCCAAGTAAGATGGAATCTTGTCAACCTTGTAATAATGTCAACCTTTCCTCCATTTATTATGATGTTATCTAGTGGTCCAGTTGTACTTTTGTTTCAATACCTAGAGAGTGTTCTTGTCACACTACATAGGGAATCCCCAAACAAAATTAGGGCATAAAGTACTTTACTATGCTTGTCCCTAGGCTGCCCACAGGTTAAACTTGGCTCATAAACTAGTTTTTCTTGCCCAGAATGGTGTTGATGTTTTAATAAAATTCGAATGTTACTAACATTTAAAAAATCAAGGAGTTCTGATTTTTCTTAAATTTTTCTGATTACAGCTTTTCATGACAACCCACTGAGCCTGACTGGCAGTGCCCTCTTTGGAAGGGATCTGCGTTTACCCCAAGTCCTTCAACTTTACATTATATTCACAGCACTGAATCAAAACATTATTTACCATGATCTGTTCACTGACATTTTATTACTGCAGAATTAAGAGAAAAACAAAAGTGTGTATCTCCTAAGAAACAGAGTAGAATATTTCAAGGGGACAAATAAGATGGGAGTATATACATATATTTTTGTTTGATGGGT